CACACACACACACACACACACACACACACACACACACACACACACACCGGGACTTCTGCCAGACTCTGAGCAGCTCCTCAGCCCCTTTACAGCTGGACCTGAAACCAACCTGCTGCTCCTCAGCTTTGTTTTCCTCATCCACTCTGAGGCTGGAAGAATGAGTGCTAAAAGCCTGTTCTTAGGCTTTCTAATCAACACTTCTATTATTGGATCCCTCCTATTTTCATCTTACTGAGGCTTTCAAATATAGCAGAAAAAATCCCTACAGAAGGAGACACTTAAAATATCTCAACAGGCAATTTCCCCAAACATCCCCGTGTGTGTGAGTGTGTGGTGAAACCTGCCTTCCCAACCTCCTTCTCCTCTTTACAAATGATGGGCCTCCATTACACGCAGGATGAAAGACGGCTTCATAGAGAATAACACATGAGGAGAGGCCATTAGTGAAGAGCACACAGACTTCAGACGAGAGAGGAAGGAGGATATTGTTTAATGGACAGCTTTCCTTCTGAGATGGGAAAGAAAAAAAAGATCTGCTCTCTCTCTCTCTCCTCTCGGTCAGTCAATATCAGCGGTGGTCAGCTGTGGAAGCAAATGGATTGATCTGAATTTATATTGGAACAGAATAAAGTCGGGCCGAGAAATAACATCTAGGACTTTAAAAGGCTGAAGATGAAGTTTCATAGTTGGCATTTGGCTGGTAAATAAATAGCTTTACTGTGAAATGCCAGCGTTCTGACCGCGGCGGAAAAGCCTTTGAAGGCAGCCGGAGGACGGACGTCTGACGGGAGACCGGCGTGCAGACGCTTTTAGTCCTTTGAAGGGGGGCTCTTTTGTGATAGGCCTCTGAATCTGAATAATTTCAGGCTAATTGTGAAGCCGTCGGAGGGCGAGTGACTTGACTCTTAATAGCATCTCTTTCTTTTTTTCTGTGTTTTTCCTCTATAGACTTGTCTCCAAAAAGATTTTTAGTGGGAAACGATTTGATCTCTGTTTCTTTCTGGGTTCCCTTTAACCTCCAGTGAGGGGAAATCATGCAGTGGGAGCAGAGCCTTGTTTATATGTGTCTGACAAACCTTTCCATTTCCATTATGGAGACTCTAGGCACCAAGACGGAAACCAAAGCCAGCTCCCAGCACTCAAGGTCACTTCTGCTTTCTGAGCTTGCACACAAAAGGCTTAAAAGCGTACAAAAGCCGTCCTGCTGAAAGCCTCCAGTCACACCAACCAGTAACACCATCCAGTCGCTCTCTCCTGGAGATGCTCAGCCTCAGACAGACGGTGAGTCAGGAGCGAGGCCCCTGGAAGCCAGCGTGTGTGTGTGTGTCCTGAGTCCTACCTCTGTGTGTGTGTGTGTGTGTGTGTGTGTATGTGTGTGTCCTACCTCTGTGTGTGGCGTACAGGGCTGCGAAGGTGACCACGAAGAAGGTGGTGGAGTATTTCCCGGCGTTCACCAGGTGTGGGAAGGCCCTCTTGGTGTCCCGGTAGCGCCGCAGACACTGGATGAAGCGGAACCAGGCGGGCAGACACTGGATGACCGCCCGCAGGCCATACGAGTAGCTGTGGCACACGTAGTCCCCAGGGTCTGTAGGAAAACACACACTCCTTCAGCCTTTCCCTCTCAGCCATTCCCCGTCTCAGCAGAGAGAAGCTCATCGCTAGGAGAGCCAGACTTTAATCCACACAGTTAGGATCCATTAGATCCTTGTTAATTGGCAGAACAGAGGCTGAGGTGTAAAATCTGGTCTCGTCTTCCATCTCAGATGGAAGAAGTGAGATATCTGACAGGTTGTCAACGCTACAAAAAATCCCCACTGTGCAACCAGATGTGGCAAAATCTACTGTTACTACAAAATGTATTTAGAAAATATTAAACACCCGTATGACAAATGATGAAAAAGTGTGGTAGAAGAATTTTGACTGCCAGCAATCCTGAGCAAAAGAAACTAACACACATTACTTGAAGCCAGTTTTTCTCTTTGAGAGAGCACAGGCAGATTCACCACCCCCTTTCCAAGTTCTTTTTTGTCCCAGGCACAGAGACAAACATAAATACAGAGGAGGTTAAGGCCAGCCTGCTACTGGATGGATGTCTGACCTTTCAGACTGGGCAGCAGCCCCTCGCTGTCGGCCCACTGCAGCTCGAATATGTAGAAGCAGATGAGATACTCCAGGTCCATGAGCACAAACACCAGAGAGTTGAGCTGATCCGCCAGCCAGAAGTCTGCGAATTCCACGCGGTGAAAGGGGGCCGTGAACACACGGAACTGGAACAAACAGCAGACAGGACAGTGTGAGGAGAAGAAAAGTGGAGGAGAGACACAAACACCAGGGCTGGCCTTACAGACTTCATCTTAAAAAAAATAAATAAATAAAAAGACTTAATCTAAACAGCTTCAACAGAGGGGACAAATCCAGCGGTCAGTGTGCAGTACTTGAATTTAAAGAGCGTATCTGGGAAGTTCTGCTGCAAAAAGACTGTTAACCAGTAGGTTACAGGATCCTCCAGTGAGTTTTTTATGTTCTAAATCTGTGGAATAAACAGGAAGCGAGCTGACTGGGTTTGAAGACTGCTTATATGTGCAGGTTATTTGGCTTCACCCCAGCTACGGACACAGCTTTGTGAATTTATCCGACCTGCCCTGACTGGTTTTCATGGAGCCTTCAGGCCACGTCTGACATTCTGAGGTGCACACACTTAGACAAAAAACCCAACACCCTCGCTTTCAACTGCAAATGTCACAGAACATTGATCTTTTTTTAATAGTTTTTCACATGTACACATGCACGCGCACTCACAAACCTACACACACACCCACACACACACATCAGGTCATTAAGTGTTTCTCCTGTCATGTCAATCCCGGTCTGAATCGATCCGGAGGATTCCTCCCTCACATCCACTCTGCGCGGGAGTCTAATCCCGCTGTGCTGCCGGGCCGAGCTTTTCATTTCTTACACAAACACTTGTAAAGATGGCACTAGTGCACTCATTTGTCCCAAAAGGGAATGTTTTGTGTGGCTGGGGAAATTACACCAATGTGGAACTACAAGTTCTCAACCACAAATCACTCAGACTTCAATCTGCCTGAATGAGAACCATAAAAATTCCCTTGTTTTCAGTCAAATTCTGCAGGCAGTGGGGATTCTACAGGACCAGTCGTTAGTGGGATGATTGAGTCTCATCATTTGGGGGAACAGAAGGAACATGCTGGGGCCTGTGGATCTGCAGAGAGGAGGAGGGCTGGAGGAGGAGGAGGAGGAGGAGGGGGGGGGGGGGGGGGGGGGGGGCAGGGCAGCACAGGGCATCAGCATACTGATAGATCCATGTCTGTAATGATTGCACAGTCACAGCCTCCCCCTCCCCAGAGACCAGCTGCATTCTATTATCCCCCAACCCGGCCTTAGTCCTGCAGCCCGTATGCACACACACGCGCACGACGCCACACACAGACAGACACACACACACGCGCGCATGCACATTTGTAAAATTTAAAAAATAGAATAAAAAAGACCAAAACAGAGCAGTGAAAGAAAAACATGAAAACATCTTTACATCTTTGCAATACTTTGCTGTTTAACCTTAAAAGTCCATTTTTGACTTTGCTTCCATAAATTAGACATTAAACTGGGTTCTAGTCCTCAAACTGAGCTGCTGGGATGGCATCTTAAATATGTTTTTTGTTTGGTTAATGCAGTGCTTATTAGAAATGAATTTTCCTCCCTGACCATTGGCATCAATTGTCCCTTAAAGATGGAGCTAACTCTGGACTAAATGACCAGTAGAGGAGTTGACCGACCAGCAGTTTGAGGAGCCAGAAACGGGATTTGTAGTAGCAGGTCTTGAGAGGGTTGATGAGGAATAGCACCATGAAACCGTAAAGGATGAGAGGGTTAATCTGCATGGGGAGGTAGATGTACTTGGAGTAGAGACAGGAGAGGATGCTGAGACACCACAACACGCCCAGGAAACCAGCAATCTGCAGCACAGAGAGGGAAACAGAAAGACGCCGCTGGTAAAAGTCGCTCAGACACACGATAACAACTGATGAGACTATCTGAGTGATATAAAATGCAAAGTATTTGCCCTTTTGTATTTTGGGACTATAAATAAAACTATGCTGACGAAAAGGTTAGGCAGTTTCTGCTAAACAAAGAGAATGTACTCTTTAATTATTATTATTATTATTAAAAATGATTGAATTAATTCATGGTGAACATAAAGAATTGCGGATAAAGATAGCAGAGACTGATGCGTTTGTGTTTGTGTAACCTCAAACAGGTGCTGGTGTGACAGGTTGTCTCGAGGGTTGATCTCAAATATGAGGACATGGTTGACTCCAGCCTGCCTCCATCCGTAGGTGTTAATGCCCAAGAGGAAGAGGAACTGGATCAACAGGAAACCACCACGATAGATCCGCACCAGAGGCCACACGTTCTCAAAGCGGATGAAAACAGCACCTAGACCAACACAACACGTTAGAGGACTCAGAAAAACCCAATAAAAACTTTCAGGAAGATTCAAAACTACACAGGAAATGACTCCAAATGTTCTGTACCAGTGAGAACGAAGGCGATGGCCAGAATGATGAAGAAGCCGCAGAAGAGCCCCACACGAAAGGTGGTCCAGGCCAGAGCGGGCTGTGTGGGGCAGAGGAGATGCTTAGCACACACACACACACACACACACATCCTGTGCAACAGGCTCATTTACTTTGCTTATGTACAGGCAACGTTTTACAACTTAAAGCCTGAAAGTTACGTTTTATTGAAGTGAATCTGTGGGAAATGGACCCATCAGACATCCGACAATTGAAGTCAGACATGGAAGTAATTAATACAGCACCAACAGCTAATCTAACTCCAGAGATACGGGGCCACAAGTCTCTTTTATTTCCAAGAGATATCTTTTCTGTTCCATAATAGAAAGGCACTTATGAAATCAATATCTGAAACTCTGATGGTTTCCTCTCCTGTCTCCCACCATTTCCCATCAGGACTCCCCTCTCACCTTGCATGCACCGCAGACATCTGCACATGATCATGGCAGGATGTCAGACTACACTTCCTGGAGGAAAGGTGCAGCGAGCTGCAGAAGTCTCCCCCCCCACCCCCCCTCATCTTTAATATGCTGTTTCTAAGCAGCAGATTTTCTTGTAATCTTCGAAAGTTGTTATTGCAAAAGCTTCTCTAAGCTTGTTTTAAATCTAAAGAGATCTGTTATTGTTTTTTTGCATAAAAAAGCTCATGATTTAGGGTGAGAGGTGCTTTTATTGCCCTTTTAATGAAAAAGAAATCTGTTGTATGATACAGCAGAAATGTTTTCAGAGCCAAAGTCCAGTAGATTCTACATGTGTTTGACTACTACTGACAGACAGTATCAGCAGAACTGACCTGAGCTGCTCCCAGTGGTGGAACTCTCAGCCTCTTCATGGCCTTCTGGCGATCCCCCCCCTCCAGCTCTGTGGTCACCAGAGCCTGGACACAGAAACGTGCGTTATGCGATGGTGGCGTGAGGTTTGTGGTCTGAGGGGGGTCTGGGAGGGGTTAATGTGAGCGGTCACCTCGGTCTCACTGATGAGCTGCGTGATCTTCTTGCAGGTGTAGAAAGGCGCCACCTCCACGTGAGACACGCGCCAGTCCGCCCCGCGACACGTGTCCAGGATCTTGTCATGTTTCTTCAGGATCTTCCGGAAGCCGGTGAAGTTCAGGTTCTGTGGGGGGCAGCGGGACAAACATGCAGCGCTCAGCACAACCAGAAGGCCTTGTTTTGATCAGAGCTTTATTTCCTTGAGAATCAGAATCAGAAATACTTTAATAATCCCAGAGGGAAATGATTTGTTAAAGTTAGAGAATCTACTCTGACTGAGCTCTGAGAGACCTGGTAGTTCTGCAGCAGGATGAGGCTGAGGTAGAACTCGCTGAAGGCTAGCTTCAGGTCCTTGATGTTGTGGTGTTTGCAGCGCTCCTCCTGCGACAGGTGGAACACGGTCTTGCGTTTGCGCAGGCCGGGGGGGGCGTTGCTCTCCCGCTGCGCGTCCAGGGAGGACTGCAGCTCATTCTGCAGCGTGGCAAACCGTCTCTGAGCCTCAGCAAGCTTTTCTGCAAAGACAAAGGAAAGGACTATAAACAGGGGCTACATTAACACACAATCTTGTCCACAGGAGGAATCAGATCCCTGTTCATTACTCAGAAGTCAGATAGTTTTATTCATTGACTGATTTACCTTCTACCACCACCATCCTTTATGGCACGTTAAATCACAAAACGCTTCCACGTATGAAAACATGACTCAAAATATGTTTGATACACTGAATTAGTAAGTAAAAAAAGACTGAATGGAAAAGCATTAATGGTCAGACTTTATGCAACTGAACAAACACACTCTGATCCCCTTAAACAGGTCTTCCTGTAGGAGGTAAACACTTCCCCTCGTTTTGGGAGAGGTTCGTTTTCTTAACAAAAAAAATTCAGACAAGACAAAAATGAACAAATCTTATTTCACACAGCCCCCCCCACCTCCTGCAGAACCATTGGAGCTGTGCTGACATGCACTTGCTGCTGTCAGGGACCATTATCTGGGTCAGAGATAGGTTAATGCACCCATACAGGAGCTGAACATGCATCTCATTAACTTCTCCTGCAGACAGACACTCTCTGAGGTGTTGGTTCTTTGTGTGCCCTCATGCACATATGTTCACATATTCATACATTAATACCAATGTATATATACATGTTCTGTAATGTTTTTTGCTCTTCAGCTCCCCCTAAAGTTGTGTATCATCACTGTCATAAAAACAAATCTGTTCAGATGATGTACACATCTGTCGTCTCATTTTGAGAGACCACACTCAAACCACACAAAAAAATGAGTTCTGAAATGTAAGAGATTTCAGACATTGAAAAGTCTTGTTTTTTCTGCTGGAAAGGGGACTCAAACAAACAAACTTGGAGTATAAATAAGTAGGCTCATATCTCTCATTTGCCTATATTTTCCCCTCAAAAGCAGATGGCATATGTTGCCATAATTTGCCGTAAATCATGTAGAAAACTCCCTAGTTAGAGAAGAAAACTACTAACATTCAGACTTCAATCAGTAAACCGTGCCCTCCGTATAATGGGCACAAAACTTTGTAGCTCATAATTTAACTGCACATCAGCCAACTACGTCCGTTCATTACTGACCCGGTGAGCGGGCAGTTTAAGGAACGGCCTCCAGAGGAAGCTCTACTGTGGGTCACTGCTCTCTTTTCCCTGAAGGCGACTTCAAGACCACAAGGCCACCTTGTGGGACCAGAATACCAGAATAAATTATGGCGACCGTCTCATGTTACAGCACACACACATTCCCCCCCGCTCCCTGAAATACACTCAGGCAGGCCTGCCACCGTAAACACCACCACCGCTGGACGCTTCTATCCCAGTACCAGTAAGAGATCCACTGTTTTAGGCTGAAGCTGCTTCTGGACTAGTGGATATACTGTGAACAGAGCCTTTACTAAGTAGATCCTTACAGAACATCATCCATTCATACAATGAAGATTTGACAGCCAGATTTTTGAGACCTATGAGTGATCATATAGTCAGAACTGTAACAGAGACTTCAAAACGTGATGCTAAATGATAAGTGAAGCAAAAGGTTCAGAACTTAAAACAGATGCCAAACATTCATCTTATGGTTTGTATCGCTAATATGTTCAAACGGATTTGTCTAACATTGTTCAGATTACTCTCTGTTGACTGAAACTGGCTCCCTGCAGGCCAGCACGGACTTGGTGAAAGTTCAGGTTATAATCTGACATGGACCTGGGCCATAAAATGTTTAATCTGGTTATGTCATGTCAAACATCCACAAAGCTTTCAGGCTGATATCCAAGTTTTGTTTTAAGATCATCCTGCAATCTAGTTGTACATTAAAACAGTTCTGCTTTATGTGGGATGGGGGTTTTCAAAATAAACTTTTTAACATTTTAGACATTAAGTATATCTGTTTATTCACTGTAATCTGCTTCATTTTCTGCTTTTCTGCTCTCCACATCTATTAACTTATAAAGACCTGATCCAATATTTGTATATATTGTACATAAAAATTCATGAAATAGAAATAATCTCCATGCAAATTCTAGCCCAATCTGGAATAAATCTGAGAAACTTTTGATGATTTATGGGTCCATTATATCCATTTGTACTCCACAAAATTCTTGAGAGGGTGAAATTCAGGTGAAGAGCTTGTCTCGTTTGAATACTTTCAAACTCCATCCGTTAGATCCTCAGTAGCTGCTTGAGTGTTTAATACCTGAGTAGAAAGTGTTGATTTTCAGGAGCTCCTTCTCGCAGGTCTGGAAAAACCTTTCTTCAAACTTTGCGTAGTACCTCTTCACTGTGTCCTCATCTGTGACTGGATGATGGAAAAAGAAAGAAAGGATTATCCACTGTTTACCCAAAGAAACATGGACTGGAGTGAGGATTTAAAGCACAGTTGAACATTAAAATACAGTTTTGGGTGTTAAAGCAAAACTTATTGCATGCTTGTTTTATATTAAGTTTGGAGGCACTGAAGGATAAAGCCACAATTCACCTTCTTTTAAAGGGAAGGGATGAAAATAATACAGAAAAACAGCTAAAAAAATGACGTTTTTCTTACAAAGTTAAACAACTGGCTGCGTTCTACAAACTTTATCTGGTTTTGACTGAACCCTGTTAGTGTCGACTTTACAGTAACCCTATCCTACATATAGAGCAGTAGAACAATCATGAAAAACAAAAATTAAACAACATGTTACACAAAAATGGAAACATTTCGTAGCTCTGAAAACGGTTTGCTGTCGGTGTTAGTTGTCACTGAGCTTTCCTTTGGTGTGTGTGTATTCATTAACTTCTTGGGGACTTAGCTGCCTGATCTTCCAGAAAGCCCGTGAATTCCTGTCAGGCTCATCAGCGCCCGGGCAGCAGACACCCATTCAGAGCTGGAATTAGATCAACAGCTTTTTCCTGTCTCTCCTCCGGCTAACCCAGCCCCGCGTCTTTTTCAGGACCAGTCAATTCAATCAGCATTGATGCTCTGTCTCAAACCATCCTCAGCCTCATTCACAACAGGCTACCCAACACCTGAATGCACCATCACGGAGGCACGCACAATCCCACAGCAAACATCACTGCACCTCCACTCATGCCAACCATTTTCTGCTTACATCAGCTCAAATATGAAGAGGAAAACAGTAAAGGAAACAGCGGTGGAGAGAATAACAATGTATACATTCTTTACATTTACCAAATCAATTAATAAAGACACAGAATGTGTATTTAAGCTATATATTGTGTCATGATTAAATGCCTCTGCCATGTCACGTGTAGCTAAACACGGAAATAAATGAGACAAACAGGTTTGAAATAGAGATGATGTCCGATACATTGCAAAATTGCTTCATAAACATATTTGACACAGTAATGAGAAACCGATGCCTCAGGCAGCAGCCAGCCATTCACTGACCTATTCACACACACTCACATGGCCACACACACTAAACACATCTATATCTGCAGCTGGCAGCGGCCAGAAAGAGGAAAACTATTCCAGCTATTCATGAAAAACCGTCTTTATTTGTGGTAATCAATTGGAGTTGAATAAAAGTGTGTTTAGCATGCGTTATGATGACATGTCCAAATGTAAATGTGAAAAGACTCATATGGAGCATCTAGTGCAGTGGAGAGCCCCACAGAGGAATGTGTGAGAAGAAGTAACTCCTTTTCCTTACAGAACAAGAATTTTACAGATTGAAATGAAACTAAATGAAACTAAATGCAGCTGACAGTTCTTTCAAATGAATATGAACTTTGCATCTGACACAGATCTTATCAGGGAAGGGAGGAGGCCAACACCAGACCACGGCTGGCTGACCACCAGAGGCCGGTCAGCTGAGGGAGGGGACACCTGACCGGCACCACTGACCGGCACCACTGACCGGCTTTAGCTGGATCCACAGGCAGGAAGCAAACTGAGCCATTATTCAAAGTAAAAGGTTACACTGAGAATGAAACCCATGTGAAAGAGCAACGAAGGAGAGAAACGTGGAGGCGGGAGGAGATTAAGAGCAAGCAATCAGTCAGTAATAAATATTGTCATATCAGTAATAATGATAAAGATGATGATGCATAACATGAATCTGAGATTGCATATATATATCAGTTTCATGTATTTATGAAGCTAAAGATGACAGCTTATAGTTTTAAAACAGGGTGAATATGGTAAGGTCTATTGGATGTGTACTGAAAAACAGTGAGCTGCAGGTGTGCGTCAGTGTGTTCCTGTGCTGGACAAATGTGGACATGAAAAGGTAGTTTTCATGTTCGAGGAGGGCTATAAAATGACCCTGCACCTGTTTCACACAGAAAATGCACACTTCTCTGCATCCTGCTTTATATATTTACAGAGAGAGAGAGAGAGAGAAATAAAGGGATCCATATGAGGCATGTGAAGTGTAAGAACAAAGACAACAGTCAGAGCAGAGTTCATCTTTGGATCCTCCTCACAGGTGTTGGTTTTGCTAACGCTCCACTGCCTCCACTATCATCTCTGCTGCTACTCCAACAAATCTGTCATTTCTCTGAAGCCCTCAACTCACTTCTCATGTTACCAACTCTCTATCTGCCCCGTAAAATGATCTGTGTAGAGGAGAAAATGAATGAAAGCCTCATTACAGTAACTGTACACTCATACTGGGACAACATGCAATCAAAGTTCATGCTAATCTGACAGCTTCCACAGTATGGTTTCTCATTATCTCTGCTCTAGACCGCTGATAATAAAGGAGGGTTTTAGAAGCCACCAGCCTTCACCAAATAGATCTGAGGAAATAGAATAATAAAATATAGAATATGAAATGACAGAAAAGTATGCTTTTTTTATTTTTATTGCGTATAAAAATCCTGCGTTTAGCAAAAAAGTCACAAATTAAATTAACAGCCTCCAGTGAATAAAAAGGACCAGTTTCGTCAGACCATTAAAGGAATATAATTCATTATAGTCAAGCCCTAGTTTTTCTCTCAGCAGTATAGCAACTGTTTATTATTTATGACCTAAGCTGCTAAACTGGCATACAAATCTGTACACATTGTGTCTGGAGCAGGAGATCCAGTCCTGTATGTTGTGTTTATTCAGGGATGACGTTTCCAGACAAAGAATTGCGCTGGTAGCTAGAAAAACAACTCTTGACCTACAGTATTCCCAGGGCAGCTCGTAGAAGGCATCCCCCCCCCTCTACTATCCCCGTCTTCTGTAGATTGTATAAATAAATGATGAGACAGCTTCCCCAGAACCCTTCTCCACTCACCCCCGAAACAGTTCCCTCCCATACACACACTCCCCACCCCCCACATCTTATATCCCCATACAGGCGCTCAATGAAGAAGCCCTTAGAACCGGGACATAAATCCTTCATGCAGACTGTGGCTGACTAGGACCAGGATTTGGACAACAGATGTAGATTTCTTTTGTGTGTGGATCTGTTTTATTCTGAAAAACAGTGTTTAATTTGAGCAGAGGAGGAAACAAATACACCAGGTGGAGGGACAGCAACCATTTCTGGAGCACTTGGACCTGGAGAGAAGAAAGAATAAAGCAGCATCTCTTCTTCTACAATCCTCTGAAACAAAAACACACAAACGAAAACATTCCTAAACTCTTTGTCTCCCTTTCTAAGCTCCATTGATCCCATTTAATAACCCCTCACTGATAGCATGACTGTTAGGGGATGTGAGGAGGCTATCATATGATGATTGCTCCTGAAGTAGATCCACTAATCTCTGCCCTGCGAGCACACAGGTGTAAATCACAAACACGGAGGAAAAATAATAAGCCATAAAAGAGAATGGGATTGACTCCAGTCTGGGCCGATTTCAATCTAATGATACAAAAGGAATAAAAGCATAAAAACAAACTCAATGTCCTTTACCGCCAAGGCTTTAAGGAAGGAAGCCAAACACTAAAACCAGCCAGACACCCCCCACGCCCCCCCTCCAATCCCTTTTCTCACTTATTCCCATTCAGCCCTCTGGCCACAATTAATTCTACCAATCATCCCTCTCATGGAGGCCAGGGGAGCATTAAGGATGCACACTCACTGGGCGGGAGTGCCTGGGAGGACCGGAGGCAGGATGAGGAACCACCAGAGCTCCCAAATCACTGAGAACTATTTATACCGCCAGACAGCCAACTAAGCACATCCAGAAAGTAAACTAAATCCACGCAGGCTGGTGAATGAGATGATGGGGGGAGAGTCACACATTCAACACATTTCTAGAAGTGATAATGCGCTCGTCTGGTGGGTGTGTGTGCAGAGGGAGAGGACACGTGTGATGGGTAAATTATTGGCAGCCAAGTGGATGCCAGAGTTGAAAGGAGAGGCCAGATGGGCTGTGGGATGGTCCCAGGAAGACACACTGGAAAATGACCCCGGAGAATAAGTCTGAGGGAATGACTGAGGCTTTTGAGAGGGGAGTGAAAAAGGAGGAGTTAAAGGAGGAGATAAAGGTGTATGGGGAATGTTGGATGATCAGACATCTGAAGGGTGGAACTATTTGAAAAGAAGTCAAATTTGACATTGATTAATTCTATATGTTTTAAGGAAATTCTGAGTGTAAGAAGATGTGTAAAAGCAACAAGAATATCAAATATAAGACATGGCACTGTTATTAAGTCATGTTTTACTGTTTAGTTTGTTAGAAATAGACTAAAGTAGTTGTACTCATAAGATCCAGGTAGTGCTGATAATATTTTCCCAACAATACTCTGTTACAATGAGCCACATTAAAGATGTAAACCTTTCAGTTTTGTCTATACATCTTTTTCTGTGAAGTTAAGATGTCAAAGGTCAGAAAACGGATGGGAAAAGGACAAAGAGGAAATCAGTTCACCGTGTGCATCATTTAAATCGTTTACAAAAAAAAGATAATTGCTTGTTTATGAAGAAGGAGAAACTTCTATGTCTCAAAGAAACTTTATAACAATGTGAGGATGAGAAACAAGGAAAGGTTGTAGCCCAGGGCTAACGGGACACAAATTGGGAAAGTTTGTGGGAGCAACATGAAGTGGGTCGGGCTTGTTACAAAAGTTGGTTTGGTCAGGAAATGAGAAAACGGTTCAAGTTTATGAGACCCTGTGAGTGCAAACTGGGACATATTTAGTCTCCCTGTTGTGAGGGAATGATCGGATACCCTCATCCTCGTTGTCTGCACCACAATCATTTGTGAGTCAGTCGAGGGCTAAATGTGAACTCAAAGCACAGAGGTTAGCGAAAACAGAAAAGTTTTGGAAAATGAGACCGAGCAGAGAAATGGGACACAGACTCTTCCAGCCCAATTTAAAAAAGAGAAAGCTAATTACTGATGTCCTTTAGTACAAAAGAAAAGTCG